TTTTGAACTTTGCAGCCCTTTCTCCCCGCTCTGTGAAGTAGAATTTTGCACGAAGGAGACGGTGGTCCGATCCCGTTCAAAATTTTGGGACAACAGCGACATCAGTCAGGCAAAACCGTCGATTGAATATGATGTGGTCTATTTCGTTGTGGAATCGTCCACCGGGAGACTCCCATGTCCATCGTTTAGATTCTGCCTTCTGGAACTGTGAGTTACCATGGATGGTCTTGGTCGACATGATGAACTCTGACAGTCTCTCACCCTGTTCGTTCCATTCTAGGCCATGGGTCCCGATGTGAAGTTCTTCAGCTGATCTTCTCGGTCCTATCTTGGCATTAAAATCACCCACAATGATCTTGTAGAAGGTGTGGTCTTCTTTATAGAACTTCTCTAGCTCCATGTAGAACTTCTCGATTTCTCTTTCATCATAATGAGATGTTGGTGCGTAGACAACGAAGATAGAAACTGCAGGCAGTGAGCCACATCTATTCAAATGTAAACGGTTGTTAGGCATTCGAATGAATCAATGCTCTTGGCCAAGTTTGTGTTGACAAGGACACCGACGCCTCCAACACCTCTTTTATCGCATGTTCCGAGGAACAATTCTTCTCCAGTGTCGAAAACGGCATGGTGAGATTCGTGCCTTCTTGTCTCGGTCAGACCAATGATGTTGTACTTGATCATTCGTGCTTGTACCATCAGGTCCTCGATGGATGCATCTGATGCTAGCGTACGTGCATTGAAAGTACAGACGATCATTTTTGTCTTCCTTCGTTGTGGCAGCCTAGGTCGGCCTTGAGATTTTGTCGGCCTCTCCTTTCTCATCCTTCTCAGTGCTGCCATGTCGGTGAAGCCTTCAGGGTCAGGTGAATGAGACCAGTTGTAGTTACTGGTTTTGGCATATCGAATACACAGCGGATAGCTTGCCAGGCTCTTCCGTGCAGGCGGAATACTCTCGGTAGCTTGCCAGTCTTTCCGAGAGGGATAGAGGCTTTTGGGGTGAACTCTAATCACCCTTGTAGGTGTTACCATATTTGAACCCTATCAAATATGGTACGACAATTCCAGAAGATGGGTATTTAGTGTCTTATGATGTGTCGCGCGGCCGCAAGCGGCTGCGCGGGTCCGGAAAGCGTCCTGAAGTGTGGCAACGGCTGGGTAGTGGAAGTAGTGTCGAGAGTGGAAGTCTGCCAGTGGGGTATTTATCTGGGTAGGGTGGGTCTCCTGTGCACAATTCGATCCCTGGGTGGTTGATGGAAGCAGACAGGGCAGGGTAGGGTGGGGCTCCTGAGTAGAATCCCTTTGTCACCTGTGGTGGTGGGAGCAAGCAGAGAAGCTCTGTCCCTGGGTCCGCCGAGCCTGGAGTCCAAGGTCTCAGAGAGTTCCGCTTATCTTGTTCTGTGGGTCTTCAGTTGTGCGTCGGTCTCGGCCGGAGCTGCCGCGCGGGTCCGGAAAGCGTCCTGGAGTGTGGCAACGGCTGGGTAGTGGAAGTAGTGTCCACAAAATAAATACAAAATAAATGTAAGCCTTGTACCACTGCCATCCCTAATCCTTCCCCTTCAGAGACCAAACTTGTTCCTCACCTGATTTTCAGTCTAGAATATCTTAATGCTCTCTTTTAGCAATCTTGATATTCTCCCACTCTCCCTAGAGTTTGTTCAATAACCAGTCACTGTATTTATGGCAGAGTGCAGAGTGAACTCAGTGAACATGTCTTTTTTTTTTTTTTATCTTCTGTTGAAAGCTCATCTCTTTTGAAATGGTGCCCATGTTATCTTTTTGCTTTCTCTTGGATTTTTTTTTTTTGGCTTTTTGGGTCACATCGGCGATGCACAAGGATTACTCCTGGCTCTGCACTCAGGAATTACTCCTGGTGGTGCTCGGGGGACCATATTGGATGCTGGGGATCAAACCAGGGTCCATCACAGTCGCGTGTAAGGCAAACGCCCTACCTGCTGTACTATGGCTCCAGCCTCGGTCTTTTATCTTATTTTGGAGCCACCCCTGGCAGTACTTAGGGCTTACTTCACTCAGGGATCTCTCTTGGCCACCTTGGGGGACCTCATGTGGTTCTGGGAATTGAACCCAGGACGGTCACATGCAAGGCAAGTATCCTATCACTGTACTATCTTTCTGGTTCCCTTCTTTAAGTTTTATTCCCTGCAGCCTTTAAGGTAGTGTTTTGCCTTGGCTGGGGAGATAGTACAGCAGGTAGGGCACTTACCTTGCATGTGGCAAACCAGGGTTCGATCCCTAGCATCCCACCTGATTCAGAAATGATTCCTGAATGCAAAGCCAGAGTAATCCCTGCTCAGGGATTGGGTGTGCCCCTGTGCCCCTCAAAAAAAGAAAAAGAAGAAAGAAAAGAAAGAAAAACTGATTAAAGTTCTTCAAATAAACAAATAAGCAAAAATAAATAAATAAAAGTAGTCTCTAGTAGGTTCATCAAAATATTGGCTAATGAAGGGTTGGAGAAATCTTACAGTGGGCAGGGTCCTGGTCTTGCATGCAATGGACTAGATTTCTGGCACCATTTGGTGCCCAGAGCCCTTCTAGGAGTGATTCCTGAGCAACACAGGGTGTATGCCCCCCCCAAAATTGGATAATGGGATAAGTAATGTAACAAATGATTTATCTTGCTTTCAGATTACCAGGGACATGATAGAGAGCTGGAAACTGGATGGCAGAGAAGCTGGAAATTCCATGTGAGCAGAACACTCAGATGTGGGCTTCTCCACTGCTTTCATTCTCAACCATATTCTAGAGCCTTCCCATGTATGCCTGAATCACTGTTAGTATTACTCGTGAGTTTATAGCCTCCCTGGACCCCATTCCTTATATAACTAAAACGTAGGCATGTGAAGAGTAAGTCTGAGAAGTGGCCAGTTTGGGGGGGTAGGATGGGGGGATTCTTTGAGTTGGCAAATTAGGGTAGTGTGATAAAGAGTTCCTAGTTCAGTGGTATGAACACAGGCCCCATCAGCCTTGGTTCAAATCTGGCCATCTTCCTAGCAGTAGCCCTCTTTTGTGATGCTCCCTTCTTTGGGCTCAGCTCATATGGGGAATATTTCTCCCGCCCCTGGCAGTATTCCTTGTACTTCTCGCACCAGAAGAACTGTGTTGAAGATCATCATCTCACACAAGAGTAGCAATAAATAATGAGCTGGAGAGATGACTCAAAAGGGCATATGTGGGAGACCCTTTTTTGGGGGAGGCGGAGCTTTTTTTGGGTTTATTCTGATCTCCATCTCCATTCCAGACTCACACTCCTCTCGTCCTAGTTTCACACACCCATCCAGTTTCACTCTCCACATCCGGTTTCCCTCTGTCCATTCATTTTCACTCTGTCCCATTTCAGTCTTACTCTGCCCCCATTCTATCCCCCAGTGTTAGTTAAGAGCCCAACTTCCAAGGTTGTGGGTCACGGCTCCCGTTGTTCATCTATTTGCTCGAGCGGGCCCAGTAACGTCTCCTTCGTGAGACTTGTTGTTACTGTGTTTGGCATATTGAATACGTCACAGGTAGCTTGCCAGGCTCTGCCATGCGGGCGAGATACTCTCAGTAGCTTGCTGGGCTCTCTAGAGAGGGGCAGAGGAATCAAACCCAGCTCGGCCGGGCTGGCTGCGTGCAAGGCAAACGCCTTACTGCTGTGCTATCATATGGACACAGTAAGAGAGTATTAAGTTTAGAGCATGATTCTCCTGGGGACATCTTGCTTTGTATCCCAGAATATAATCCTCAGGCCAGATTAGTTCTTCCTAATCCCAGTAGGGTCCTTATCCAGTTACAGTTACTTCTCAGGTCATGACAGGCTATCCAGGACTATGCTCTTAACTTATTGTAAGTTTTATGGCGCTTGGCGATACAAGGGTAGCTTACACCTTGCCCTGGGTCCATCTAAGTCCTTTCGTCGGGATCCTCCTTATGGGGTACTAGGAACTAAGGGCAACTGGGGCTTAAATTGAGAAAGTATGATAATTGCCCAGGAGTAAATATTATTCGGAGTCAATAAACTTCCAAGTTACAAAAGCAGAGCATCAACTGTCTCCCTGTGTCTATACAAAAAGGACATTGCTCTAAAGTAAACTGCAAAAGACATAAAGGAAAGAGAAAAGCAGTATTTCACTTACAAATACAAAATCTAGAGATCTTTGAAGAATCTGATTTTACAAGTGATAGGTTCTGATTAGGAAAATAAGTGATTTAACAGATAGGGGAAGCAGAGTACAAGAAGTTAAAGATAGGGCTAGAGCAATAGCACAGCGGGTAGGGCGTTGCCTTGCACACGGCCAACCCGGGTTCAATTCCCAGCATCCCATATGGTCCCCTGAGCACCACCAGGGGTAATTCCTGAGCATAGAGCCAGGAGTAACCCCTATGCATTTCCGGGTGTGACCCAAAAAGCAAAAAAAAAAAAAAAAGAAAAGAAAAAAAAGAAAAAAAAATGAATACTGAGGAAGTGGGAGTGCTTTAGGAGCACTGTGATGGGTGTTCTTCAGTAAACCTAAGCTCCTTGCGGGAAGGAGAAAGGGCCAGACCAATGTTACCCAAAAAGAAGGAGGAGGAAAAAGAAAAAGAAAGGAATGAGATGGGAAATGGGCATAATGCCTGCACAGGAAACACTAAGGTCAGTTCCTTTCTCAAAGCGCCAGGCGGACGTTAACCACTGTGTCAAGTGAAGCTTCCTCTGAGAAAGCCGGAAACCTCAGCCCTGGGTTGGATCCCATCACTCGCATCCTTTTCGGCCCCAGGTGGAACTACATCTGCCAGCGCCCAGGACTGCTCCTGCCCTAGCCCACCTCCCCGGTGTGCGCTGCGGGCCCAACGGAAGTCAACCGACCCCCAGGTTGCAACTTCCTGCCCTTACGCTTCCGTCGGCTTCGTTCAAACGGGCCGCTTTCGCCAACAGCCAATCAGGACGCTCGATCTTCGGCTGCCGCCCAATGACCACCCGTAATGGGGAACGAAGGGCGTGAAGCCCAATCGCCGCGCCATCACACTTGAGGGCAAAGAGGTTAGGAAGCCGGCATGGCGCTCCGGTCAATAAAATCGATAGCTGGGAGCTGCCTGTGTTGCAGGCAAAGGCGGCGCAGAGGTAGCGCCGCCATTTTCCCCGAAGGCATCTTCCGGTGTCTCGCTTCCAAGTTGGAGCAGGAGTTTCCCGAATAACGGCAGGTTTCCGTTAGCCCCGCAGGCGGCCGACGCTGACTCCCTCCGGGCCCCCCGGGCCGCGCAGCCCCGGTGCGGCGGGGACCGGCCGGTCCCGGGAGGGGGTCGCCATCGCCCGAGGGCCGTGGCGCTGCCTTCTCGGGGCGAATGGCGCCGCCTTCGGCTCCGCCGTCCGCCCGGGGATCAGTAGAGGCTGGACCCGGCCGGAGAAGGGGAAGGAGGCCCAGGGCGGTGAGGTTCGCGGACGTGGCCGTGTACTTCTCCCGCGAGGAGTGGCGGTGCCTGCGGCCCGCGCAGAGGACCCTGTACCGGGACGTGATGCGGGAGACCTACGGCCACCTGGGCGCGCTCGGTGAGGCCCGGCCCGGGCGCGGGGCGGGGAGGGAGCCCCGAGTGCCCGCGCGGGGCCCGCGGCCGGGCTGCGTCAGGGAGGGCAGGGGCACGGGCAGGAGATGCCCTCGGGGACACAACTGGCCCCTCTGCGTGCCGGACCGCTCACTGGATCTCCTTCCCCAGGCTGCGCCGGCCCCAAACCAGCGCTCATCTCCTGGTTGGAGCGGAACAGCGATGACTGGGAACTGGCTGCCCAGGATCCGCAGGCGGGCCCAAAGGGGGTGCCATCCCAAAGAAGTGAGTGAAAACATCCCCGCAGAGGGCGTGCCACCGCGAAGACTCAGTGTGGCAACCCGGCCCGAGGGGGTCCCGCTCCCTTCTGTGGGCCTAATTTAGTGACTAGGTTCATTTTAAGGCTTCGGGACCTGCTGCAGAGTGGGGCGGGTGTGGTGCTTGGTGTCTTGTCAGTTTGCACATCAGGTCAGGATTCTCCTGTCACTTTGCAAACTCAGCACCGCAGCTCTATTCTGTGGAAGAATCTGGTCTCTTTAAAGTAGGTGATTCCTTCCCAGGACCCCCGTCCCAGCCCTTCTAGTGGAGCGACCTCCTGCATCACGTGATCTCTTGGGGAATCACAGGATCTCATGGGGAGCAGGGCATGGGTGCCCTAGCCTCTTCAGTTCCTGACTCTCTGAGCTTGAATTGAGCAGTGTCTTCAGGCTCAAGCAAAGCTCTGATCAAACTGTCTGGGCTGGAATTTTTTTTTCCTTTTTGGCCACACCCAGAAATGCCCAGGTGTTATTCCTAGCTCTGCTTGGAAATTACTCCTCCTGATGCTCGGGGTCAGTGCTGGTCGGCTGCATGCAAGGCAAACAATCTAACTGCTGCACCATCTCTCTGGCCCCTGGGCTGGGATTTCTCTGAAATTCTTTTTGTTTTTGTTTTGTTTTGTTTTTGCGGCCATACCCCACAGTGTTAGGTGAGGGGTTTGCTCCCTGAAGTGCTCAGGAGAACCCCACTGTGCCAGGGATGGGTACCAGGCCTGTCACATGCAAAGTTTGCTCCGTTGTTGAGTGTTGTATGGCTCTGCTAGGTTCTTTAAGGCCAGAATTACCTACAAAACACCTGAATTCTTAGCATCTTTTAGTTCTTGCCACAGCATATTGTCAGCTGCATTCAGTTATATTAAGTCACTGAGGTACTTGATGCCAGGCTCCTGGACCCATCCCAGAGCTATTGATTTACATTATAAATGGCTAAAAACATTAGCCCCGGCTGATATAGATAAGAAAGTCCAAGGGCCTTAGCAGTGCTTTTGAGTGTAAACCTCAAACCAATTTGACAAAATGTTAGAAAGACAAATTCTTGGGGCCCACTTCTGACCTCCTGAATTCAGCACTGGATATAGGGCCCAGCATTATGTTTCAACAAGTCTCCAAATAATTCTGGCCACAAAAAGATTTGACTTCCAGCTCATACTTATGTGTTTCCACTCATGTTTTACACACTACCTTCTTAAAATCTCTTAAAAATGTTCCCAGCGATCACACCTGCCTTTGCTGGAGATGTTGAGACATGTGCTCCACCAAGCCACATCCCAAGTCCCCAAGCCCCCAATTCTACTGGAGGCCTTTTTTTTTATATACTTTTTTGGTCACACCCGGTAATGCACAGGGGTTACTCCTGGCTCTGCATTCAGGAATTACTCCTGGTGGTGCTCAGGGGACCATATGGGATGCTGGGAATCGAACCTGGGGCAGCCACGTGCAAGGCAAATGCCCTACCCGCTGTACTATCACTCTAGCCCCTACTGTAGGCCTTTTATATACAAAGCATGCTCTTTAGCCCTTAGTGCTATCTCCTTGGCCATTTATTATCATTCATTCTCTCTAACATTCATGATTCATATTGTACTGTATTATTTACCTTTTTTTTTTCTTCTGTGGTGCAAGGGATTGAATCCAGGGCCTCACACCTGCAAGGCAAGCATCTGCTATAGTGCTACATACCGGATCAGAACTTCACTTTTGAGGGGGCCTTCCAGGAGATTTGGGAGCCCAGTAATTCTCAGCCAAAGCATTGACAGTTTGATGTAGGGTCCCCTGGGTGCTGTGCTGCTTGGATTTTACTGCTGGGAATTCCAGGCCACCCAGGGTGCTTCAGGGATCACAGGGCTGTACCCAACAATGCTCATGTGGTGCCGGGACTTGAACCAAGTCCAACCACTGCACTATGTCTTGGCCCTGAGCTCTTACTTGTTTTCCTCTTTTATTTTTGTGTGTTCTTTGTTATGTATCTTTTTATTAAGGCACTGTAATTTATGTTATTCAGTGTTGAATAAAATTGAGTTTCAGGCAGCGTTCCAGCACCAACCCTGGCACGTAGTCCATCTTAGCCCCAGGTTCCCTCCCACTTTGGTAATTTTTTTTTTCTTTTTGGGTCACACCCAGCTGGAAGTGCTCAGGGGTTACTCCTGGCTCTGCACTCAGGAATTACTTCTGGTGGCACTCGGGGGACCATATGGGATGCTGGGAATCAAACTTGGGTCAGCCGTGTGCAGGGCAAATGCCCTACCGCTGTGCTATCGCTCCAGCCCCAGTTCCCTTCCACTTTGGACTTTCACTGTTTGCAACTCCCAACTTGGCCAGGCTGGGGTAGATACACCCATCTTGCAGCCCATTCTGTATGTGTCTGTAGCACTAAAAGGAGACAGGGTTGAGTCTTGTCTCCTTTTACACTGTCATCGGCCAGAGGGAGCCCCATGTTTGTGACACTCATCTCTCACTATCTCTACAGAGACCCGAACCAGAAAGAATGGAGACAAGGAGGATCTCCCCGCTAAGGAGGCACCCCGCAAGGGGAAGCGAGGGCGGAGGCCCAGCAAACCCCGACTAATCCCCAGGCAGACATCTGGGGGTCCCATCTGCCCGGATTGCGGTTGCACCTTCCCCGATCACCCGGCTCTGGAGAACCACAAGTGTGCCCAGAATCTGAAAAAGCCTTACCCATGCCCGGACTGTGGACGCCGATTTTCCTACCCGTCCCTGCTGGTCAGTCACCGGCGGGCACACTCAGGTGAGTGCCCCTATGTCTGCGACCAGTGCGGCAAACGTTTCTCCCAGCGCAAGAACCTCTCCCAGCACCAGGTCATCCACACAGGCGAGAAGCCCTATCACTGCCCAGACTGTGGCCGCTGCTTCCGGAGGAGCCGGTCTCTGGCCAATCACCGGACCACGCACACGGGGGAGAAGCCGCACCAATGCCCCAGCTGCAGCCGGCGCTTCGCCTACCCGTCCCTGCTGGCCATCCACCAGCGCACGCACACCGGGGAGAAGCCCTACACCTGCCTGGAGTGCAGCCGCCGCTTCCGCCAGCGTACAGCCCTGGTCATCCACCAGCGCATCCACACGGGGGAGAAGCCCTACCCGTGTCCGGACTGTGAGCGGCGCTTCTCCTCGTCCTCGCGCCTGGTCAGCCACCGGCGGGTACACTCGGGGGAGCGGCCCTACGCCTGTGAGCACTGCGAGGCCCGCTTCTCGCAGCGCAGCACGCTCCTCCAGCACCAGCTCCTGCACACTGGGGAGAAGCCCTACCCCTGCCCGGACTGTGGCCGCGCCTTCCGGCGCAGCGGCTCGCTGGCCATCCACCGCAGCACGCACACCGAGGAGAAGCTGCACGCATGCGAGGACTGTGGCCGCCGCTTCGCCTACCCGTCCCTGCTGGCCAGCCACCGGCGCGTGCACTCAGGGGAGCGGCCCTACGCCTGCGACCTGTGCTCCAAGCGCTTTGCCCAGTGGAGCCACCTGGCTCAGCACCAGCTGCTGCACACGGGCGAGAAGCCCTTCCCCTGTGGCCAGTGTGGCCGCTGCTTCCGCCAGAGATGGTCTCTGGCCGTCCACAAATGTAACCCCAGAGCCCCCAGTTGCAGCCCAGCGATTGTGGGGCCAGGCCAGAAGGGAAATGCCCATTAGGATGGGAAAGGCTGAACTTGTTTCGTTTTCCCGGATGGGCCCCAGAGACAGCCGTGCCGCGGTTGAAAAGGGCAGCGTTAGGACTCAAACTTGGGTCTTCTGCAACACAGACCTGCAGTCGAGGCCCCCCGGTGCTGCCCTGCCTTACTCCGTGGCTCGGTGGGACAGCCCCATCAGGACAGATGGCAGTACTTGGCGCAAGGTCACCGAAATAGCTGGGGCTGGCCTCTCAGGGATGCCCTTTCCTGCTGGGGTCAGTAGCCGCGTTTCTAGTTGATACGCACTGGGATTTCCTGCCGCCTGCCTGGGGGCCTCCTCTGTTCCTCCTTCAAGGCCAGTTAAAAGAGACTCGGTTTAGCATCGCCTCCCTTTGCTGCCCTCCCCCGCCGAACGGTCTTCTGTCCTTGCTTTAAAACCTCCCGTGTCAGGGAGCTCTACCTCACCAGACAGGCCGCTTCAGTGCTCAGCAGCTCCCAGCAGTGGGCGGCTGAGAAGGACCCTTCTCTCCCCGGGTAATGCTTCCGTACACGAAAGCCTTTCAGATAACATCATCACAGGAGCTCAAGTCACGGCATTACATTAGTGAATCGCATCATGAAAGTCAGGGTTTGAAGTCTTACACATGCTTTTTTCCAAGTAGATCCGGGTTTTTTGGTGTCCTTTTTTCATCCAGAGATGCACTCCCACCACTGTGCGCATCCACGCCCCCCTCCATTCCCCCATCCCATACCCTCCCCCATCTGTGCTGTTTTTAGCAATGCAGAACTGGGGAAGGGATGGCGTTGTGTGCAGGTTTATTGGTTGCAGGTTGTCTTTTGTTTTTTTAACCATGTTTGAATCAGGTTGGCTCTGGGACATAAGTATAATGGCAGCGGGGGAAGTTTTAAGGAGCACGAAATAAAAATGGGACTGGCTTGTACATTGTGTAGTGGATTTGGGTTCATTTCAGTAGCCAGGGGCCAGAAAATTATTAAGAACAGGTCTGCTTCTTGATTCTCTTCAGAGTAAGAACTCAGCAGCATTTTCTGTGGGTTCTTGGTATTTTTCATAAAATAGTACTGAAGGAGGGGAGGAAGTTAGTCACAGATTGTGCCCGCACCTGCCTCCCACACATCTTCACGCGTGCTTTCCAAGTCAGCAGCAACTACGAGGCTTGGTCTATGTTAAGCTCCGTGGCGCCCACCAGAGGAAGTGTTCAGAAATCCTGGGACTCAGATAAAGCCCTATCACTTTGCTTTTGGTAATGCATCAGTTTGGAATTTCCAGACATGACCGATCTCTACAGCTGGAGTGGGTCATTGTCCTGCCTTGTAGCTTCTTCACAATCTCAGCCCCAGAGAGGGGAGAAATTGAGAAATAGTTTATGAAATGACCCCTGTTTTGGTATTAGCAAGTTGCATTGTGACCGTTTCTCCTTGATAACAAGCAACCCCAGGCAGGGCTCATATCAGTTAGGACATCATTAAAATGGCTGATGAATGAGTCATGTTTCATGGAATTACTCTTTGTAAAAATTGTAAATCTAGGGCCAAACCTCAAACAATGGTCTGAGGGCATGCTTTCTGGAATCCCAGGGTTAATCCCAGCCTGACTGATGCCTCCTCCCCCCCCCCCCTTTTTTTTTGTCTTCTTTTTGGGTCACACCCTGGGCAATGCTCAGGGCTTACTTCTTGCTCTGTACTCAGGAATTACTCTTGGCAGTGCTTTGGGGATCATATGGGATGCCAGGGATTGAACCTGGGTTGGCTGCATACAAGGAAAATGCCTTACCTGTTCTGTCCTCTAGCCCCTGAAAGGTCCCTTTGAACAGCATCAGAAGCAACCTGCAGGCACCATTGGGCTTGACCAAAACAAACAAAAAAAGTGACTAGGGGCCAGGGAGGTGACTCCAAAAACTTGTATGTAGGAGCCAGTCCTTGGCACCGTGTGGTCTCCAACACTGCCATTTATGGCCCCAAACAAAAATATATATATTAATCTAGGGACCAGGGATATAGTACAGCTGATAGGGTCACTTGCTTTGCAAGCTTTTGACCAAAGCGTTTGACTCAAGTCACTCCCCAGCACCGCATATGGTCCCCTGAGCAAAATCTCAGAGTGATCCCTGAGACTGCCATTGAGGCCCAAAAAAACAAAAAGTAAAATTTAGAAAAATGTAAATCTAGGGGCTGGAGAGATAGCACAGCTGGTAGGGTGTTTGCCTTGCACACAACCGACCTGGGTTCAATTCCCAGCATCCCATATGGTCCCTTGAGCACCTCCAGGAGTAACTCCTTAGTGCAGAGCTAGGAGTAAACCCTGTGCATCGCCAGGTGTGACCCCCCCCCTCCAAAAAAAGTATATCTACTTCCTCAAATGAGTAGGAATTTTATAGTTCTTTTAAAAAAGTCTTTGTTTTTGGGTCACACCCTGAAATGCAGAGTGCTTGCTTCTTCCTGGCTTTGAGCTCAGGGATCCCCCGACAAGATTTGGGGATCACGTGGGATGCTGGGGATTAAACCCGGGTTGGTTGTGTGCAAGACCAGAGCCCTATCTGCTGTACCATTGCTCCAGCCCCAGGAATTTCTATTTCTGATGGCAATCTAGGTCCTCAGACCAGGAACCCTAGCAATACCTATTAGGATTCCTGTAGCTCTCCCATTTGGGTGCTTTCCCCCGTTTGTTTGGTTTTTTTTTTTTTTTTTTTTGCTTTTTGGGTCACACCCAACAATGCTGAGGGGTTACTCCTGACCATGCTTGGGGGACCATATGGGATGGCGGGGATTGAACCTGGGTCGGCTATGTACAAGGCAAATGCCCTACCTGCTGTACAGCCCTTTTTCCCCTATTTTTATTACAAGGCTGACCATCTTTTTTTTTTTTAATGTGCCAATTCCTGTAATGTTCAGGGCTTACTTGTGGCTCTGCTCAGGGATCACTCTTAACAGAGCTCAGGGGACCATACAGGTGTCAGGGGACTGAAGCCCTCTGTTGTATGGAAGGCAAGTTCCCTAAAGCGTATACTGTCTCTCCAACCCCACCCATCTATTTCTTTTTACATTTTTTTTTTTTTTTTGGCTTTTGGGCAGTTGGCATATTCAGGGATTTTCCCTGACTGCCCACTCAGGAATTACTCCTGGCAGGCTTGGGGAACCATGGGGGATGCAGGGGATTGAATATAGGTGGGCCGCATGTGAGGCAAATGCCCTACCCACTGCACTACCACTCCGCCCCTCCCCACTTCCTGTATTTTCTTTTTTGCATTTTGGGTCACACCCAGTGATTCTCTGGGGTTATTCCTGGCTCTGCCCTCAGGAATTACTCCTGATGGTATTCAGGGAACCATATGGGATACCAGGGATTGAACTCAGGTCAGCTCTGTGCAAGGCAAACACCCCACCCTCTGTACTATCACTCCACTCAAGCCCTGTATTTTCTTTTTTTTTTTTTTTTTTTGCTTTTTGGGTCACACCCGGCGATGCACAGGGGTTCCTCCTGGCTCTGCACTCAGGAGTTACTCCTGGCGGTGCTCAGGGGACCATATGGGATGCTGGGAATCGAACCCAGGTCGGCCGCATGCAAGGCAAACGCCCTACCCACTGTGCTATCTCTCCAGCCCCAAGCCCCGTATTTTCTTACCTAGAGATTTTATTATCTTTAGATATGGGTTGTAACTGGGTTGCGAGCTATTGAGGGGGGCCAAATGTGGCCGAGAGGCAGACAGCCTCTTATTCCCACAGGCACTTCTGTCAGAGTGTTCACTGAGTAGTTGTGACCCTGGCTGCTCGGGCCAGGAAATACCTCACCCGGTATTCAGTGAGACCATGTTTCCTCTCAATAAAAGTGCTCAGGGACACAGCACAGGCCTTCCGTTAATAAGACCCTGGTTCAGTCTTCAGCGCCACTACAAGAATTCCCCTTCTGCTTAATGTTGTTTAGAATTACTGTTAAAACTGTCCATCTGAGGGCTGGAGCAATAGCACAGCTGGTAGGGCATTTGCCTTGTATGCGGCCAACCCGGGTTCGATTCCCAGCATTTCATATGGTCCCCTGAGTACCATCAGGAGTAATTCCTGAGTGCATCGCTGGGTGTGACCCAAAAAGACAAAAAAAAAAAAAAAACCTGTCCATCTGCCTTTATGCCTAGGTGTGAGCTCTGAAGGAAAAATGTGCCATGCTAGGTTGGACATGTGCTATCCATGTATGAAGCTCTAGGTTCAGTCCCCAGCACCAAACAAAAATAAATTGCAGTGCTGCCAAGAGGGGCCAGTCAGCAATATCTTTGGTGACTTCTGTGTCCAATCTTATCTGACTCTTCAGTAGTGCATCTGTCCCTAAAGTATGACTGTCTACTCTTTTGCTGAGAAAATACAAGGTGCCACATGGGCACTCAGCATTCTGTTCTCTACTTGATTCCAGAGTGACCCGTGTGAGAACTAGCAGAACCTATACCTGCATCCGTCCCACCTCAGGACGGTATGAAATGTTCACTGCTACACTGGGACTGGGGGTTGGAGCGATAGCACAGCGGGTAGGGCGTTCGCCTTACAAGCGGCCAACATGGCCGACCCGAGTTCGATTCCTCCGCCCCTCTCGGAGAGCCCGGCAAGCTACCGAGAGTATTCGATATGCCAGACACAGTAACAACAAAGTCTCCAATGGAAACGTTACTGGGCCCGCTTGAGCAAATCAACGATCAACGGGAGGGCCTTTACCTTTACCTTTACACTGGGACTGGGATTTCAGCCCCTCCCGGGGACTCTCCCATCTATTTACTATTCACTCTCTTTCTGAGTCTTAAGGATCCTGCTTTGATCCAGAACACTTTTCTCCCTCTCCTGCCTATTAACCTGCCAGAATGTGGGGGTTTTGCTCAGTTGGTTTGTTGTTGGAATTTGGGGCCACGTCCAGCCGTACTAAGGAACTAGTTCTTAGTGCTTCTAGCTACTATTAAAAAAATTGTTGGAAGGCCATAGGCTGGTGCAATAATACAGCAGGTAGGGTGCTCGCCTTGCATGAAGCTGATCCCTGGCACCACATGGTTCCCCGAATCCCACCAAGAGTGATCCCTGAGCACAGAGCTAGGAGTACCATCGGAGCATTTGAGCAATGCTGCTCCCCCCCCTTCCAAACAAAGTG